TGAATGTTGTTAAATGTCGGTTACCTAAATTATTTAAAAGGTCCACTGGTTAGAACAATACTAGTTACATACCTGGCTTCACATGCCATGAGTTCGCAAACAAATTATGTTTACAAATAACTAACAACGTGTCTATACATGTACACCTAGTGAATGTTCCTGTTCACCTCCCCATGCAACTCTAAATACCACTAGGAGAATGCTTAGGAATAACAAAACAGGAAAAAATAAATATTATTTGTCCGATGTACCTGCTCCAAAACAGATGGAATCTGAAGGAAAAAGAATGAGGAAAATGAATGAAAGTTTTTGGTTCACCAAATCCCATGAAGCTTAGCTAATTTTATCATATCTTTCATTACCCTGCATTCCGCAGTTTTCTCCCGATTGTTTGTGTTTTCACATTTTTTACTTAAGGCAGGGATCCCCTTTACCGTCTTGAGGATATTATTTTCTGATGATGATGGACAAAAATGCTCACTGAAACAAACCAAATTCCTACATTAACAACAAAATAGGTGACTATAGGTTTTCATGAAACCACGTTGTCTTTTGACACAGCCACTGAACAAACGTTTCCGTGATACTAACACATATTACCGAGTATATTTCACATTTATAAAAGTCCCATTTTCCAAAGTCCCACTGTCCTACCAATGACGTGCCAGAGCACACACTAACATTCTCCATTGCGTCCCCTAGATGTCACCTATTTCTCATATTAGCAGGGGCTCATTCCACCTGGCACAATTTAATCATGTCGTACAGGCATGTGTCGCCATGGAAACGCGTGAAAAACGTCCATTTTCCATGTTGGCAGGGAAATGGGGATCAGCGCCTCTGCATATGGACGGTACAATATCGACATTATTCCGTCTTAGAGTCAGTGTTGAAAGGGAATGCTGGAATTAAGAATGGGATTACAATAGTCTTATAACAGTTATAATTTACTGACGAACTCAATTGTCCGGAATAAAATATCGAAAAGAAATATTTTATTCATCATTCATGGGACTATAGTGTTTTATCCTTCCGTTCAGCATTCACCTGTGACGACATCGATATATCAATATCAATATAATTTAACATGCGCACGGTACTATTTAGAATGCAAGGGTATTGACAGAAATAGCCCTCAAGTAGCTATTCTTGTAGTGGATGGCATTATATGTCGAATGCCTGATGAGGGAGGATCTCAAACACCTTCATCAAATCAAGGTATATATTTATTAAATTGTGTTCATTATCTGATAAAACAAATGTGTTGTGAGCTCCTTAAGGACATGCTTCAGAAGTACAGAAACAGACATCGATTCTGCAATGTGTTGTGTGACGAGCAAATGAGTAGGTTTTAACACCGCTCCTAACATTATCCCAACTATATTAACTTATTGTTAGAGGAAAACTAAAAATAAGACCAGTTTGGTGACATCCGGGCACTGCTTTGGTCCTGACAAGCCCCGATGAATGTGTGTGTGTCTGTGGTGTGGGGGTGTGTGGGTGGGTGTGGGTGTGGGTGTGTGTGTGTGTGGGTGGGTGTGGGTGTGTGTGTCCAGGATTCGAACGCATAATACAGTGTTCTGCATTTTCCAGGTGACCCGTGTAACTAGTCCTAGTTATTTTACTTCACTTACATTTCATTCCTCAAGTTCATGGCATCATACGCCTCAGTCTTCGGGATCTCATGGATGAACATATACGCGTTCTTATCTCAACATGCAGGTGTCACAGGTATCGTTAACATAGATTAGTGTATTTCTGTATCTAAACGAGGTTAAGTAGTAATGTAAAATCTGCAGACAACGATACGAAACGTCCACTAAATATGTCAGAGGAAACAGTGATTCCGCGAGTGGGCTAGTGGTGAGAAGGTGGCTCCACGTTTTGGCTGGTGCTGAGATTGTTACTGAGACAGAGCTTGTGGTGAGATGGTGACTGAGACAGAGCTTTTGCCGAGATGGTGACTCCGTGAGTGAGCTTTTGGTGAGATGGTGACTGTGACAGAGCTTGTGGTGAGATGGTGACTGAGACAGAGCTTGTGGTGAGATGGTGACTCCGGGACTGAGCTTGTGGTGAGATGGTGACTGTGACAGAGCTTGTGGTGAGATGGTGACTGAGACAGAGCTTGTGGTGAGATGGTGACTGTGACAGTGCTTGTAGTGAGATGGTGACTCCGTGACAGAGCTTGTGGTGAGATGGTGACTGTGACAGAGCTTGTGGTGAGATGATGACTGAGACAGAGCTTGCGCCGAGGTGGTGACTCCGTGAGTGAGCTTGTGGTGAGATGGTGACTGAGACAGAGCTTGTGGTGAGATGGTGACTAAGACAGAGCTTGTGGTGAGATGGTGACTGTGACAGAGCTTGTGGTGAGATGGTGACTGAGACACAGCTTGTGGTGAGATGGTGAGTGAGACAGAACTTGTGCCGAGATGGTGACTCCGTGAGTGAGCTTGTGTGAGTGAGATTGTGACAGAGGTTGTGGTGAGATGGTGACTGTGACAGAGCTTGTGGTGAGATGGTGACTGTGACAGAGCTTGTGGTGAGATGGTGACTGAGACAGAGCTTGTGGTGAGATGGTGACTAAGACAGAGCTTGTGGTGAGATGGTGACTGTGACAGAGCTTGTGGTGAGATGGTGACTGAGACACAGCTTGTGGTGAGATGGTGAGTGACACAGAACTTGTGCCGAGATGGTGACTCCGTGAGTGAGCTTGTGGTGAGATGGTGATTGTGACAGAGGTTGTGGTGAGATGGTGACTGTGACAGAGCTTGTGGTGAGATGGTGACTGAGACAGAGCTTGTGGTGAGATGGTGACTGAGACAGATCTTGTGGTGAGATGGTGACTGTGACAGACTTGTAGTGAGATGGTGACTTCGAGAGTCTACTGGCAATCTCCTGCTTGAAATCCACATAAAGGTTATTTGATCCTGAGATAAATACCTCCGCCATTCTAGCTTGTGGTGAGATGGTGACTCCGGGAGTGAGCTTGTGGTGAGATGGTGACTGTGACAGAGCTTGTGGTGAGATGGTGACTGAGACAGAGCTTGTGGTGAGATGGTGACTGTGACAGACTTGTAGTGAGATGGTGACTTCGAGAGTCTACTGGCAATCTCCTGCTTGAAATCCACATAAAGGTTCTTTGATCCTGAGATAAATACCTCCGCCATTCTAGCTTGTGGTGAGATGGTGACTCCGGGAGTGAGCTTGTGGTGAGATGGTGACTGTGACAGAGCTTGTGGTGAGATGGTGACTGAGACAGAGCTTGTGGTGAGATGGTGACTGTGACAGAGCTTGTGGTGAGATGGTGACTGTGACAGAGCTTGTGGTGAGATGATGACTGAGACAGAGCTTGCGCCGAGGTGGTGACTCCGTGAGTGAGCTTGTGGTGAGATGGTGACTGAGACAGAGCTTGTGGTGAAATGGTGACTGAGACAGAGCTTGTGGTGAGATGGTGACTGTGACAGAGCTTGTGGTGAGATGGTGACTGAGACACAGCTTGTGGTGAGATGGTGAGTGAGACAGAACTTGTGCCGAGATGGTGACTCCGTGAGTGAGCTTGTGGTGAGATGGTGATTGTGACAGAGGTTGTGGTGAGATGGTGACTGTGACAGAGCTTGTGGTGAGATGGTGACTGAGACAGAGCTTGTGGTGAGATGGTGACTGAGACAGATCTTGTGGTGAGATGGTGACTGTGACAGACTTGTAGTGAGATGGTGACTTCGAGAGTCTACTGGCAATCTCCTGCTTGAAATCCACATAAAGGTTCTTTGATCCTGAGATAAATACCTCCGCCATTCTATACCAATGCCAATACGTCCTCCAAAATACCTGCTGTATCCATCTCGCTGTGTTTGCAATTTAACGCCGACTCGGTAACATTCCAACTCTACAACGGAGATCGATGAATGATCAAATCTGGACAAGATAATCCAGTGATTGTAATAATTAGAATCCACCGGGGAAGCTGGGATACGGTGTCATGTATCAACCTCCTCGCTGCAAATGAGGCGGTGTTCCAGGCTGTTATCGACAGACATTCGGGTCGCGCAAAACGATTTTCTGAGGCTATACTGAAAACCTGATCATGAAGCTTATTGTTAAAGATGGAGGCAATGGCCTCGGGACTATTTGAAAATGCCATCAAAGATTTTTGAGACCTCCCCTTCTGCACGTTCAACCAAATATGATATATAAAGCCAAATGGGTTTTTTCTCATTTTGCAACCGTAGCTAAGTTAAGGGAGCATTCAATATTACTACGACATATCCAGATATGGCCTTCCGGCATTACAGCGATTTATTACACATAACCTGGCATTAGTTGTTTCCGGATGTAAAAATCACAATTTATCCCGATCGGAAGTTTTGTCAACTATCGACATCTACCCGTGAACGTGTGCAGCAAGTCTAATGTCTGTGTTGCCGACAGTCGACTCTGCGTTCTATTGTCCACTGTCCAATACCTTGTCAATAACGCCGTCGATCGAGTAGACTCCAATCTATTAGAGTAATGGAGCCACAATGGGCTCTTGTGAAAACACTCAACTACGGTAATCTGCGGCTTGACAGTGTTACACAGGTTCTCCACAGTGTGTCGGGGAAGTCTGGTGGGAATTCACACAAGTCGTGCACTAAATAGATAATTGATTAAAATAACCTAGATGGGCATCCTGTTAATAGTCCCATCGCTCCGATTAAATAGAGCTGTTCATTACGTCTATTCTGATATACTGAAGGACAATCACAATGTCTAAGGCAAAATGCGGAAGTGTAAAAAGAATGATTATTACAGACTACCGTCTTATAGCTGCAATATTACTGAGAATGACTTGAAACAACAAATTAACAAATTTTCCTTTCGTTTTATAAATGGAATACACCAAGACACCAGTTCGCCTTGGCCATATGAACCGCTTGATATCTGGCCATGCATGACCATGGTGTCATGATATAAATGGGATTTTTATGGCAAACAGTAACAATATATGTCTTTTTCTGCAGGTTCGGCCGATTCTGCAATGGGTGGGAGCTGGCAGGAGACCCCGTTTGACTTCGGGGGCTTCTCGAAACGGAAGGACCCGACAAAGCTCATCCAGGTCTTCATGTTGCCGTGGCAGTCGAAAAAGTGAATGTCGCCGAGAAGAAATGCTGAGCTTCGATTGGTCAATAGAGACATATGACCCGTTCCCCAGACATGGACCGTCTTTGAAAATGAGAAAACCTTTGCGGCGTTGCTTACAACTGAACGGCTGAGTGTGTTATCTGGGTAGCGAATACTCCAACCATATTCCTGGAGGTGACAACAGGGCGCTGTTGTTCGCCTTCAGGAGCATTTACAATGTCTTAAAAAGCGTATTAAAGTAATGATCACAATCAGCTAAAACAGACTCCCTACATCATGAAGTTGTTCCTCGGGCAAGGGGTCAGCGTTTGAATATTTATATCTATCTGTTCGTTTACACAATGTGCAAGCTAGTGAGTGTCTTGTGTAATCTTATCTATGTCTAGGGGTCACAGCAGGTAAACATGAGACACTATGAGCTGTTGTAGGTAACGTATAGCACGTCAAATGGAAGTGGGTGAACATTTACAGTTCATATTTATTTATTTATTTTTCAATTCGTAGTTATTTATTTCTCATCATTGTAATACTGGTAGTAATAGCGAAATCTTTACTGGTCATTAAAATATAACTGTAAGCCCAATATCAATATTTGTCAGTGATTGTCTTAGGATTTGGAGTGGTGATATAGTTCATGCTCTTTAAAATCTTATTGTATTTGTGAAATGTTTTGGGGGGGGTTATATTACGGATAATAGTCTTCTATTTTCAGTAAAACCAGCAGTCACAGATTTACGTATCATAAACAATGAGGTCTAGTGGACCCAAATACACAAATGTGTTATACTTTGGAGAATTCGTCGAAATTCATCTTTGTCGGGTTATGTATGTTGTCGTCAGGGGAACCGTACCGGTTTCGGCTACATCTAAAAGGGAACGTTCAAATGTAGGAAATCTGACACGGCATGTATAGGGAATATGTGTGGGCCCATGTTATAAATACATCTATATTTCTAAACACTTGCTTTCCAATGTTATGCAGCAGAAATGTAATAAAGGTCTATTCTTATTGCACTGATTGTTTTGTTCTCGCTCATTGTGCACCTCTTACCTTTCTCAAGGTAGTGGACAAATTAAGCTATTTTTCGTCACACTGCACATGAAATGAGAGCGGAAATATTCTCCGGATACAGGTAATTACAATGACAAGGTGTTAACTTTATTACTTTGTTATCCTTGGGAAGGATATGCTCACCTGTCCGCGAACACCTGGTGTCATCATTATGGGATATATGATTCACATACACAGCCCCTTGGTACTGTCAGAATCGTATAATCCATCGATCTGTCTAATTCCTACCTTCAGGTTACGTCCTGGGTTTCAGAAAGTTTAATCTTCTTACAATCCACCGTGGGTTTGTTATTTGGGTTTGTCGTTTGCATTTTTTTGTCGTTTTTTTTTCATTTTTGTTGTTGTTTGTTTTGTTTTTGTTTTTGTTTAGTTTTAGGAGGGGGGGGGGCGTTATTATTCATCTTCTTTCTTCTTTTTTCTCGTGTTCTCTCTTATTATTTTGTTTGGGTGGTATGTGTGTGTGGGAGGGGTTGTCTCCTTCTTGTTCATGTTTCCCAACCTGTTAAACTCGAACAAATTAAGCAGTTTATTGGTTCGGACAAAGACATTTGTCTTGTAAAAAGACGATACATTAAACATGTGCTTAAGTGCGGGGCAGGGCTGAAGCCCCACAAACTCTCAGGAATCAAGCTGCCTACTACCCTGCTCCCGAACACGGTCATACACCCACTACCCTGCTGCTGGAGAAGGTCATACACCCACTACTCTGCTGCTGGAGAAGGTCATACACCCCTTACCCTGCTGCCGGACACGGTCATACACCCACTTCCCTGTTGCCGGAAGAGGTCATACACCCACTACCTAGGTGTCGAACACGGTCATACACCCACTACCCTGCTGCCGGACGAGGTCCTACACTCACTACCCGGCTCCCGGACACAGTCATACACCCACTACCCTGCTCCTGGACACAGTCATACACTCACTACCCTGCTCCCGGACACGGTCATACAACCACTACCCGGCTCCCGGACACGGTCATACAACCATTACCCGGCTCCCGGACACGGTCATACACCCACTACCCCACTACCCTGCTCCCGGACACTGTCATACACCCACTACTCTGCTGCCGGACACGGTCATACACCCACTACTCTGCTGCCGGACACGGTCATACCCCCACTACCCGGCTCCCGGACACGGTCATACACCCACTACCCTGCTCCCGGACACTGTCATACACCCACTACTCTGCTGCCGGACACGGTCATACACCCACTACTCTGCTGCCGGACACGGTCATACACCCACTACCCTGCTCCCGAACACGGTCATACACCCACTACCGCACTACCCTGTTCCCTGACACGGACATACACCCACTACACTGCCCCGGACACGGTCATACACCCACTACCCGGCTCCCGGACACGGTAATACCCCCACTACTCTGCTCCCGGACACGGTCACACACCTACTACCCTGCTCACGGACACGGTCATACACCCAATACCCCACTATCCTGTCTCCGATACGGTCATACACCCACTACCCTGCTCCCGAACACGGTCATACACCCACTACCGCACTACCCTGCCCCGGACACGGTCATACACCCACTACCCTGCTCCCGAACACGGTCATACACCCACTACCGCACTACCCTGCTCGCCCTGACACAGTCATACACCCACTACCCTGCCCCGGACACGGTCATACACCCACTACCCTGCTCCCGAACACGGTCATACACCCACTACCGCACTACCCTGCCCCGGACACGGTCATACACCCACTACCATGCTGCCGGACACGATCATACACCCACTACCCTGCTGCCGGACACGATCATACACCCACTACCCTCAGCGACCTCCTCCTCTCTTGCTGTAACCTCGACTGGCGTACTATAAACATACAACGCATACAAACCTTTTATCAAAAACGGCCAAATTAGCCAATAATACTAAACTGACGTACAAAGATAAGTACTCATCGGGTGATCTGGGATTATTTTCTTTAAAAGACGTAGGATCATTTTCTACCAAAATGCCACGACTAGCAGCCGAGCACTTCTCACATATATCCGTTACTGTTTGGAAGATAACCCTACCCCCACCACCACCTCCAAAGATAAACAAACAAAGAATACAAATAATATACTTTAGGTTTTCTCTCTGTACGTCTGTTTAGTTTTTAAATGGAATAAAATGGGGAAGACATATTTTACAGATTTCTTGAATAGCACATGCTTTATCTCCTCAACCTGGACGGCCAGTTATAGCTTGACCCCGTGTAGGAGGTACTCCACTACGATCAGTATTTCAGTTATATCAGGGTCGGCGATTTGATTTAGAAACATCATTTCGCTGCGGGTTTAATTAAATCTCTCCCGACCCCCTCAACACCTGCTGCACCACAAGCAGCTCCAACCCACCGGAGTGCCACACAAACAGCAGCACTTGTTGAGGAACAGTGAATGTGGTTTTTGTTAAAATGATTGTCCTTTGGACCACCCCTAAAGATTATTAAATAACTACATCATCAAAATCTATAACTGAACTCTAAGAGCCGTATTGGTAATTTCCAATCAATACGCCTACAGCATGAAACGAATCAGCAGATTAATAGAATGTTGAAAAGTATGCAAAAACTCCTTATTGGATGTTCCAGGAACGGTTTGTTATGTTGAGTGGTACAGCGTGTGGTATTGTGTCGTACATCGAGGTACTGGCAGGGTGTGGGAGCTGTGTCAACATCATTCCATCCTCCGGTAAGAAGTGAGTGAGTGAGTTGGGTTTTACGCTGCTTTTTTGCAATATTCCAGCAATATGACGAGCGAACGCTTTAACCACTGGGTTACCCCACCACTCTCCGGTAAGAAAGGGTGTAACAAGTACGGTAAGTTAAAGTCTTTGAATGGCATTTAGAAGTGATACACATAAAGAATGAAACGTCATGGATGTCAACACACCGCAGGACACTACGTTTCGGGAGTATATTTTCTTAATCCTTCATCAGGTGAAGGATTAGTCATTACATGAAATGACTGCAGATTTGACCGATATCATCAATCAAATAGCGTAATCGATTGCAAATCAAACAACACTCATTACTTTCCTCACTTGTCTGCTAGTTGGCAATTAGTCTGATAAATTCACATTGCCAATTTTCCTCAATCACGATCGCAAATTGCGAGGGCATCCTAGGGCTCGCCACCATGCTGGTTACCTTGTTTTACCCACTATGTTATAAGGCATACCCACACAGGGCTTTATCTCATCAGATATCAGTCTATGTCAGAACTGAAACAAAACATGAATACACAATGTCATTTAGAAAGTGGTCAAATGTAACAAATGTTATATTAGGGATTACACTTTATCAGTGAAGTAGAGATTCTAGTACTTTTATTAGATTGAATCCCATCCTGGATTCGAACCCCCACTCTCAGAGTCAGGCACACACAAAATCAGCGATCTAACCCAATCAGCCACCGCGACTTCAACAAAAAGTGTCTAGATCACGTTCCTTGTGTACCCACTGAACTGGCACGGCAACGACGACCTAAAGCCATGGATAGACAATGTCATTTAGAAAGTGCTCAAATGTAACATATGTCAGACAGACAGACAGACAGACAGACATTTTATTCAGTAACAGGCCTCCGGCCCAATATAGAATCATGATAATATGTAACACATCAGCGCATTTTACAGTATTTACAGTTTGTGTTTCTTGTTTACATGATATAAGAATATATATACATTTTTTATCATATCCATATTTTCACTCTGTAGAATAGATATAAAATTTATAATTGTGGGGAGTTTAGTAAAATATTTCTAAATATATTTATTCCTGAACATCAATCTTCCTCTGAAGCTGCACACAAGTATCAGCAACAGCTGACGCATCATCAGCAAACATGAGAGAGCAAATACTGCTAATGGAAGATGAAACTGTAATACCCTAGCCACCATCTCTCTCTTAAAGACAACGCAACTTATTGATAAAAATAATAAATATTTGTGGACTCAATACACCTCCTTGACGGGTACCAATATTACAAGAGAATCTACCTGATAAGCCACTAGATGTCCTATCTGTAGCAGATAGAGAATTGTACCAACTTCTGCAAGGAATTTTATAAGTACATCATGCCTTAAGGTATCAAAGGCTTTAGTAAATTCCACAAGCAGACAATAGAATCTACCCCTTTTTTTACCAACATATTTTTGAACTAAAGACTGCAAAGAAAATATATGATCAATTGTAGAATAATCAGCTCTAAACCCAGCCTGCGATTTACTAATAATATTACGATCTTCACACCAACACTGAAGGCGATGGTTAAGAATAGACATAAAGACATTACAAGTAGAATCTATAAGAGATATTCCTCTGTAATTATCTGTAATATCTCTACAATCAGACTTATATATAGGACAAAAGGATACTCTTACCCCAACAAGCAGGAAATCAAGAATACTATTAACAAGATGAGTGAGATATTGCACAATAAGATATCAAGAAGCCTTTAATAATTCAGCGGCAACACCATCTAGCCCCGGGGACTTATTATTGGCAACATGGACTATATGGTGCAAAACTTCTTCATCAGTAATAGGATCATCAAGCCCTTCTGTTCGCTGACTTGAAATAAACATATCGCCATCTTCATCTGAGCTGAAAGAACTGCACTGACCTCCCCCAAGTCGAGACATGAAATGATTAACCCACTGCTTATTTGTAATTGACTGAGAGATACTACTAGGGGAAATAGCCTTGTTCAGAATCTTCCAAAATAACTTAGAGTCTATACTTGCATCAACCAACTTCTCCTTTTGTTTACACATATAGCCTTCCTTCTTAGCCCTGAAAACCTTTCTAAACAATTTCTAAAATATCTAAGGACATCTAGACTTTCATTGGAGTCTCTGTGAGCTGTCCTTGTACTTGCTATGCTTTAATAACTCTAACTCCTGATCCCACCATG